ATGTTCACGGTCTTAGGTGATCGTGAACTGCCTTGTCGTCAATGAATTCAGACTTTTCTTCGGTTTTGGCGCTTTTTGACCTCCAAATATCCCAAAACTCGTCCTCGACCCTTCCACACGTGCTAGGACCTGAAATGTATTAACAATCACTTCTTCTTGCGAACAAGCTTTGAATTCCCCATTTTCATCAATCCATTCGTGTCAAGGAGGCTTGCAAAGTTAGCTTCCTGCAACAGCTAGAACACTTATACAAACTTCATAGTTGTTCATATGAAATGAATGGAATTCTTTGTCAATCAATTGGTAACTTGAAATGGATCCAAATGAGATCATATCAGGCCCCCCTCTTGAAAAAGTGTTGCCCTCAACACTTCAGCCTTTCGTTGTGCAAATCGATCGCAGAATTGATCCCAAACCAAATCAGAAAAAGGCTGTCTGAACTCGAACTTCTGCAGAATTAGGTTACTGTTCTTCGACCTGCGATTTGGTCTTTTTGAATTCACGCATTCCCAGTCAAATTCCTATGTACCAAGAGCTTCCTCATACCTCAAATTGTAATTCTGGGCCGGTCCTTCATTTCGACTCATCGCCATAGTCGTCGATTTGACGATTACCTCTTTCCCGCCACGACCAACTTAAAAATTTCCAGAACCCAGAAGTTCTGAATTCGAATTGGGCGTTTCCTCCACAAAAATCTTAGTCCGAAATTGAAGCTCCCTACAACTTCCGACATCAGTTTCCAATGATTCAGCAATGCCAATTTGCATCGAATCGTCCGCAGCTGTTCCAACCAATAAACCTGATTTTAGCACGTCGTTGGTCGTTTTCAAAGCAATATTGGGTCGAATTGGATCCTATAATCCAGGTACAATTGATGACATCTCGCCTTCAGTGAAGCTTCCCCATGGATTATGGATCGTGTCAGTGCTTTTGGTTAGGTTTGGATTAGCCTCCAGAGCTCCACCAAATGCACCCTCTCTCCTGCTCTGCTCCGGCGAGCCGTCACAGAGCTGTTTACACCGAGGAGTCTTCTGCCTCTTGTAACCTGTGAGCATGAACCAACGAGCTATACAATTGACTCCGTTATGTTTAGCAGCTCGCGTTCCACTAGATTCCCCGCTTTGTCGCGTTGACTGGTCTCTAATTGACGTTGATCCTCATGAACTTCGGCCGGCGACAAAGGTTTAAGCACAAACTTATGGTTTCTATGCTGAAATTTGTAGCAGTTGGTTCCACCATCGTGACAAACCTCTCGATCAAACTGTCAGGTTCGTCTCAGCAATAGGTGCACAGCTTGCATCGGGGCTACATCAAACTGAATCTTAACTTCATATCGTATGATTGCAAACTTGATATTAGCCTGTTTATTGACCTTGATAGCACTATAATCATTAAGCCAATGCAAGGTGTAAGGTGCAGGGTGTTTTCTTGTGCTTAGGCCGAGTTTCTTGACGATGTCAGAGCTTACGACATTCGTACAACTTCCCCCATCTATGACAAGAGAAAGCAAATTTCCATTGACGTTGCATTGGGAATGGAAGAGGTTTTCCCTTTGCTCTGAGTTTGACTGAACCTCAATGGTGAGTTCCCTTTGATTTACACCTACGAGATGTCCTAGGGGAGGAGGGGTCTCCATTTCATGTTTTTCCTCCACCTATTCCTCCTCGCCATCACGGATTACCAGTGTCTTCAAATTGGGGCACTGATTTACCTTGTGTCCCCTTCGATGACACTGAAAGAACTGGATTCCTCTAGTTCTTTCCATAGCAGTTGGGGCAATGTTCTTGGCTGGTGCCTTGCTGGGTTCAGTTTGCACTTGTGGAGGATTGGAATCGGAAGCCAGCTCTGCCACGGATTTGTTAGTCAAAGTAAACCTCTTGCTTGTGGTTTTCTGTTGTTTTTCGATCTTAATTGCCAAGTGAAAAGCTTCCTCCAGATCGACAAACGATCAAAGATCCACCTCCTGTCGAATTTCTCGATTTAAAACGTAAAGAAAACGAGCTATCGTCACTTCCTTGTCTTCCCTTACATCGGCACGCATCATCAGCAACTCCAAATCCCTAAAATACTCTTCCACCGTTCATGTACCTTGTCGAATCAGCTGCGGGGATTCGTATAGTTCTCTTTGATAGTATCCAGGAACAAACCAATCTCTAAGAAGACCTCGGAGGTCTTCCCACGTTTTAATTTCTGGCTGGAGGTTACGTCGATGTCGTAATTGAACTTGCTCCCACCATTGAGCAGCATAGTCCGTAAACTCGTAGGTGGCCAAGAGCACCTTCTGCTGCTCAGAATAGTTTCCCAATTGAAAGAATAAAATTACCTTTCGCTCCCAATCCAGGTAAAGTGAGGCATTGAGAGATCCAAGTAATTTGATGCCATGAGGAATGGTAGGCTCTGCTTCGGGCGGTCTTCGTCGTTCGTGATGTCGTCGTCCTTGTTCTGGGTTATCCACCACCAGCCTCTGCTCAAGTTCGTCAATTAGTGCCACCAAATCGCGAATGGCAGCATTAAGCTCCTCCTGAACTTGTTCCCCAAGTTGTAAGGGTGGGCATTCGGTCGGTTAGGTTTTGACCGAACCAAAATTATGAATACCGGGTCCCCGAATTCTCCCAAAACTCAAACCGAATTCGATTTGGTTCGGTCGGTTTAAACCGAATTATAACTCGGTTTAGTTTGGTTTTTCACTCAAAACCGAATTTGTGAAGCTACTTGTATTTTCTCACTTTTAAATTATTTTCACCCCTAATATAAACAGTAAATATCAATTATATGCATCACCAATGATAAAACCAAACTTTTCAACACATAATTCATAACACATTTCAAATATTTAAGTCTAAAAACAACTATAAACATAAAAATCCACCATTTGGAGCTTGGAATTATATTATTTCAGTATTTCGGTCGGAAATTCGATTCGGTTGAAAGAACCTTTATTTCCGAACTATTCATATTTTCCTTCCGAATAGCATTAATTCGGTTTCGGTTCGGGTTTACCAAACAATTTGACCACCCCTACAAAGTTGGGCTCGTCGTCCCCTGTCGTGCTCTGCTTCCTCCTCCGCCGGAGCAGAGCGATTGGTTCTTAGCTGCAGCTCAGCCAATTATTGATTCAACCGATCAAATTGGTCCAGGAAGAAATGCTCCAACTATGCTAACGTTAGGGGTTGCTCTCCATTCATCGATGCCTCCTTCTCCTAAGTTTGATAAATACAACGAATCGTAGGGTCACTAGAAACAGGATCCTTCGATCTCGTCCAACGTGCCGTCCCGGTCACGCTATCCGTTGCCGCCGACATCTTCCTGGTCCTTGTGTAGAACCAAGGCTCTAATGCCACTCGATGAGCCTTAGATGGGTCTCTGTATCCAGAATCGCACAACAACGAATTATGTTAAACTCAGTTCTCGAACTCAAACAAAACAGGGGTGAAAGGTGATGGAGATGGTCGATTTCGTGCAATTCTTTACATGAAGAAAGGCTCGAAATAGATAAACGAGGCTTGGCCACGAGCAGCGGGATCAGCTGATCGATACAAGCTAACAATTTCCTAGAATCCTTCTAAGAAATCACTCAATTGGTCTAGCCCACTAGCAAGATGAATCAAAGCTTTACTTTGTATTCAATTGATCCGTTTACAATGAAATTGAATGACCTTAAATAGACCTAGGCTAGCTAACAAACTAATACTAACGATCTAATCATAAACAAACTCGGATATCAAACTCGAAACAGAAAAGGTAAAGATTCCATTCATGAACCTCTGTGTTCATAAATGGTGTGTCTACATCTATTCTCCTCTGGGTTTCCCATCACAGTTATTGTCCACTAGGTATTTAGCTATTGTTCGCACGTTTCTGCGTGACAATATTCTCCGTTTTCATTATGTTTATGTTCAATTATTAATGCAACAACTTTCTTTATTAAGACGCCCTAATATGGAAAATACATTGGTAACAATTGGTTCAAAGCACAACAACAAAAATGCACAAAAGACATAGAGTAAACTAAGCACACAACACAAACTTAAGTAATTAAAGTGCACAAATTAAACTTAGAGCCACACCATACTCCTTCTCTTGTCCACTAACGCTCAACCATTTCCGCTTTAAATGCATGATGCCTTCACGGTTACAAATCCTTTATGCCTTATTAAGTACTCCACGAGAGTCGGAGTGTCATGATCCGGTGGATCCAATGTGACATCTATAGTAACACCCGAATTTTGGTTATGGTTCGACCATAATACGTGAACGGTTAGATCGACGATTACGTACGAAGGGTTGCAATTGCGGATTAATAATAATAATAATTATTATTATTATTATTATGCAATTATATAGCAAGGACAGTGGGGCGGCCCTCAAAGTTTCCCCACTCCCCATCACAATTAACCTCCACGAAAACTCCCCATCTCTCCAAACCCCAACAACCGCTAGCGTTTGCTCTCTTTATCCCCAAGGCAGCCGAAACCTTAAAGCTTTGTCGCCTTCTCATTTGAGTCGAACGACTGCCATGACCACACTTATGTCACTGTTCTCTGCACTCTCTGGAAGTTAGAGCTCGCCACTAAGATCATGAACGCCACAAAGACTGCCATGGAGAAAATAGCGTTGGGAGAAGAATGGAGTTGGCGGCGGAAGTAATATTATGATTGGGTTCTTTTTATTTCTTATGGGGTTCTGATCGGTGGGAAGACTGAAGAGGCATCCTATAAAGAGTTCACGTGCTGGGGTTTCTATCCCAAGAGGGGCCAGATCGATTAGGGTATAAATGGTAGGGGCCAAATCGATAGTTACGTGCCGTTTCTTTGATTTTCAGGTCTGGCTGTTCTCCAGGATGTAACTATCGATTCTTGAATCTAATTGATTATAAAAAAAAAAAAAAAAGTGGTGGGTGATATGGCGCGTACTCAAATCACAGCGGCAGGAGCGTGACGGCAGGATGGAAGGAATTCTCAATTCTCACTCGGTCGCTCTCAAGATTCAACCCTGCCTCCGCCATTCCCTCGATTTTCTCTGTTACAACTTGCAAGTAATTGAAAAGAAAACCCAAAAGATGACTAAAGACTAAACCTTTAACAAATCCCACCCACGTTCTTGTTCTCGAGAGACGGTCTACGAAAAATTTATCGCCATCAGTTCTTGTTCCGACCTCAAGAGAAACAAGAAACTCGAATCTGCGGAGGAAGGTATATGCCACCAATTCACTTTCCTCCCGTTCCAATTCATGCCCCCAATTCCAACAGATCTTTCTTTGATGTTCCAGGCAAAACCGAAGCCCAGTTGACTTACTATACCCATCTTCCAGATCGCCGGTAAAGGCCTCAAACTCGAGTACTTCCCCCTTTCGCCTATCGCCCTTTCCTCTAGGGCGGGCGGATGGGTGAAGAGGAGGCAATCTCGAGTGATGTTGAAAGCGAAACCAGCACTAATTCTTCAAGACCAAAACTGACGGTATTGCCTCTAATTGCTCTAATTTTCTACGAGGTCTCTGGTGGTCCATTTGGTGTTGAAGATTCAGTCAAAGCTGGAGGAGGTCCATTACTGTCTCTCCTCGGATTCTTGATCTTCCCTCTCATTTGGAGCGTCCCTGAAGCTCTAATCACGGCAGAGCTAGCAACAAGCTTCCCCGAGAATGGAGGGTACGTCATTTGGATTGCTTCTGCTTTTGGTCCCTTCTGGGGTTTCCAAGAAGGATTTTGGAAATGGTTTAGTGGGGTTATGGACAATGCACTTTACCCTGTCTTGTTCCTCGATTACTTGAAGCATTCTTTTCCAATTTTCAACCACTTGGCAGCCCGAATTCCAGCCCTTTTAGGGATCACAGGCTCCTTGACATACTTGAACTACAGAGGACTCCACATTGTTGGGTTCTCTGCAGTTTCGCTTGCTGCTTTCTCCTTGTTCCCCTTTGTCGTGATGGGGATTCTCTCCATCCCTCGAATTCAACCCAAGCAGTGGCTTGTGGTTGATTTTGGTAAAGTGGACTGGAGGGGTTACTTCAACAGCATGTTTTGGAATCTAAATTACTGGGACAAGGCGAGCACACTTGCTGGGGAGGTTGAGAACCCGAGTAAGACGTTCCCAAAGGCGTTGTTTGGAGCTGTGGTTTTGGTGATGTGTTCGTACTTGATCCCACTTCTGGCTGGGACTGGGGCTTTAACGACTCCCTGGAGCCAGTGGAGTGACGGCTACTTTGCTGAAGTTGGATTCTTGATTGGTGGAGCTTGGCTCAGATGGTGGATCCAAGCTGCTGCTGCTATGTCCAACATGGGGCTGTTTGAAGCTGAAATGAGTGCTGATGCTTTCCAACTTCTTGGGATGAGTGAGATTGGGATGCTTCCATCAGTTTTTTCTTCAAGGTTAGCAACTTTTTTTTTTTTTTTTTTTATCTTTAAATAATTTGTGCCCATTTCACCTCTGCCTTCAACGGCGCACTGGCAAATGCTCTCATTTCACCTCTGGCTTCTGGTCTTTGATTACAGGTCAAAGCACGGGACACCAACAATCAGCATCCTGTTGTCTGCTACTGGGGTGATCTTCTTGTCATGGATGAGCTTTCAGGAGATACTGGAGTTCCTCAACTTCTTGTATGCAGTGGGAATGCTACTGGAATTTGCAGCATTCATCAATCTGAGAATCAAGAAGCCTGATCTCCACAGACCGTATAGGGTTCCACTGGGGACATTTGGTGCAATAATGCTATGCCTCCCACCTGCTGTGTTGCTTGTTCTGGTCATGTGCTTGGCTACGTTAAGGACATTCTTGATAAGTGGAGCTGTTATTGCTGTGGGTTTCATCCTTTATCCGACTTTGCTTCATGCCAAAAACCGGAAATGGGTTGAATTCCATGCTCAAGAACCAGCAGCCGCGGTAGCTCCTGATGCTGTGGCCGAGCAGCAGCAGCGTCGAGAGATTGTGGAGGAGGCTGCAGTTGGTCTGCTTGCTGATTTGTCGTGTGTTAAGACAGATTGATCTGCCATGACCCTGTGGAGCTTCTGTAGAGTTTGTATATTTCCGTAATATATATATATATATATATATATTTTTAATATAAGTCTGATTACAATTTGAGCGGACGGGCTCGGCTCCACTTCTAGTAGACGTTCACGAGTTTTCATAATTACTAGAGAGTTTACCCGCGCTACGCAGCGGCTTTTAATGGGTTTATGGCTTTGATTTTTTATTTGCAAGGCCATATGCATTCTATTTCATCAATATCGTTAACTTTTAGGAAAAACTTATCCCTAGATAAATAGGTTTTTCTATACCACCGCAACCCTCTGTGCTCTCCTTTGTTGCTTGATCCCTTTTTTGTACTGCTGAAACAAACACAATCCATGAAAATTGCCACTCTATCAATCCTTCCAACCATCTCCCTTCCATCCAATCATCAACCCTCATAAAACAAAAGAAGAAACTGAAACAGAGCCTTCTTTCAATCTTCTTCCCCCAAGTTAAACCCTCTAAACAAATTTCAATTGCATGTTCTCCGTCGCTACTTCAGTTTCCCTCAAGGGAGCAGAAGATGAATATGAAAATGGAGGCCTATGTCTTCGATCCCCATCACCTCTTACAAATTGCAGGAACCAATATGAATCGTATCTCTTTCTAGTGGTTTCTAATAGAATCGAATAGGAAAGCAGAAGAAAATCCTCAAGTGGGATTGGCATGCAAATGCAATGCCTGTCGTTGTCTCAGCCATATCCGTATTGGGTTAGATCTGACGGCATGTAAGCACCCGGAAGGAGCCTTCTCCCTCTAATTTCTTGATATGACTCATCTGGAGATGGTTTCACGAGGATAATGGGAGCTGTACATCAATCTATCTAGTTTGGATGGGGTTAGTTTCGGTTTTTTACTGGGATCCTCATATGTGACGACGACGGTTGCGCTTCAGAGGGTGACGAGAACAATTATTTCATTTTGTCAAATACATAGATTGGAAAAGTAGAACAAATAGGAAGAGCTGTATAGTTTTTCCTTATTCAATTTTCGAGCTCTTAGATATGAGAAGCTTTAATTTTCAGTTTTGCAGGCACTCTGTTATTGCATGTCAGCTCTTCGAAGAAGAAGATTGGATGAAGAGAGAGCATAATAGAGAAAGAGGAAAATAATCATTAAGAAAGTAAAATCAGATGACTAAGGTTCGCCGTGCATTCTTGAAGAAACTTGGATGGATTAATTTAAAGTAAACCACAAGAGTATACACCAGTGGAACTCCAAGAGCAAAATGAAATTGTGAATAGCCACTCGTTTAATAATAAGTGGGCTGTCATTTCTAAATTCGAAAGCAAGTGTTATTTTAATCTTTCTCTTATACAACAATAACCATCTTACATATTTAATAAAGTATTAAGACTTGCTGCTGTTCCTTCAACTCATCTCGTGTTCCCCTGCCTTCTGCATATCGTTGGTTCATCGCCAGAATTGAAAACTGGTAAAATTGATAATTTAGGTAAAAATTGTAAGATTTTAAGGTTAATATTTAAATTAACACTTAAATCATTGGATAGTAATAAAGTATATATATCTTGAATAACTCCTCAATATAAAATTAGGTATAAATCATAAGATTTTTAGGTAAAGCACATATCACTTAGTTACTCCTCGATATAAATTTGTTTGCTTGATAAACACAAATAAATATCTAGATTTGTTCTTGTACTTAAGATAAACACAAAAATAAGCAAACTAAAACAAAAAAAAACCACATTATCTAGGTAATAGTAGAATATAAAATAAGATCGCTAGGATCAACGTTAACATCAAAATCCTTAACATCACCATCTTCAACCTCACCCTCACTTTCATCCTCATAAAATTCTTGTCTATTTATTTGAACAATGATATCAGTATTCTCAAGATCACTAGAAGTACTTTCAACACCAATCATATTTTCTCGATCGCCATCATCCAACGAAGGCAATTTATTGATTGATGCATTTATTTCTTGATCAAGGTCGAAGATGGTGTTGCTGAAGGTTTGGGAGACGAACATAAACTTTTGAGGGGATGGAGATTGGGCTAATTGAGAGGGTGACGAGGGAACAAACAACGGGCTAATTGTGAAGGTGATGGAGGAAATCGTTGATGAAAGGAGTTGGGTGTTGGCTTGCGGAAGAGGAAGAGAACAAAAATCAATTGAGGTATCCTGTTAGGTTAGGGCTGAGTTGTGTTGTCCATGTGTTGGGTATGGAAAAGTGAACTTGACCCGATTTGTGGGCAAAACCCGATCGACCGGCATGATTTTGCTCCAATTGACATGAACAATGAAATTGTACATGATGGACCCTAAGAAAATTTTATTTTATTGGACGGAAACAACCCCACCTCGGGGTCACTCCGGCCACCCAGGGTCAAATACCTTGGGTCACCTTGGGGTCTCTCCAGCCATCCAGGGTCAAATACCTTGAGTCACCTTGGGGTCACTCTGGCCACCCGGGGTCAAATACCTTGGGTCACCTTGGGATCACTCCGGCCACCCCCGGGGTCAAATACCTTGGCTCACCTAGCCCACCCCGGGGTCACTCTGGCCACCTGAGTTCAAATACCTTGGGTCACCTTGGGGTCACTCCGGCCACCCCATGGTCAACTTCCACGGGTCACCTCGACTATCTTGGGCTCTCCGCCCACCCCAGGTCACCTCGACCTTTATCCACGCATCCCCGCAACGTGTCCTCCCACCACACCACCAAGATCCAGAAGGAGACACATACTCCCTTCATGTTCGCCTAGGGGCCTCTATAAAAGGCCACTTCGTCTCCAGATTGGGGTAAGCAAAAATCCCCATGCCTACACTCGTGAACTCGCGCTATGATTAGCGTAGATATTCATTCTCAACTCCATTCCCTCATCTTTCTTTTCGAGATCATATTCCTCTCCACTCAACCCACTCACTAACTTGAGCGTCGGAGAGTGTCCCCGCTGAGATCGGCCGGCGGACCCTTTTTGCAGAAGACGACCGGAGCTAACATCACGAGTGAAGTTCGAGGTGAACGTTGACTGACTCTGGTGCCCAACATAAAAAAATTCGGCATTGGCTTCAACCCCGACATCAACAATTGGCGCCCACCGTGGGGCCCCGGAGCAAAAGGTTGAAGTAAACCTAGCGCCACTACTTCATTCAGGATGGAGTCTCAATGCTCCCTACACCCAGGGGCGGAGCTAGACTATGGCTTGGGGGGCCCCGGGCCCCCCCCCCCCCCCCCCCCCCCCCCCGAGAATTTCGAAATTTACGTGTAAGTTGTTCGTGATTTTTGAAAATTACGTATAAACAGAAAGTAAAACATAAGAAAGTAGGCGCTAATTATAACACATTTACCAGTGCAGCCTAATGGAAGGACATGCTTATACAATCATGGGAATGCTGGTTGGATGCTCATGACAGACATATGTTAACCTTTTTTGTTTTCTACTTGTACTTGGCACGAAAATTCAATTTGAAATCAATTAAGTTCTTCAAATTTGCATTCCACGTTTTAAGGACTCTTTTGAATATATATATAATAATTTTTTTTCTCTTTTCATTTTTAGCTCTAGAAAATGGTGTAAACTTTGCATTACATGTTTTAAGGACTATTTTGAATATACACTAAGTAACTTTTTCTTGTAATAGATTGTACACATTGATTTTTCAGCTATAAAAATCATGAAACATGTTAGGTATTGGAATGTGTTATTAATTTTATTGGTAATTAACTCATTTATAGTCAAAATGACATGATAATTTATTCGTCTTAAATCGTGTTTGAAGTAAATCTAATTGTCTTAAAAAATGTCTTGGGCAATTTTGATGATTAAAGGTACTCTTTTTTAAAAGTTGGAATTATATTTTTGTGTTTTTATGCCTCTTACGGTAATACGAACAAAATTTTTCGCCCCCTCGAAGCTCGAATCCTGGCTCCGCCCCTGCCTACACCCCAAATTGGCGGCGGAGTTCGAGACAAAGAGCCAGCTCCTCCACCGTCTGTCGAAGAACTTCAACTCCAAGTTGAGCAATTGAAAGCCCAAGTCCAAGCATTGACATCAGCTCCTCCTCCAACCCATAGGTTGCATGCCAGCTCTAGCCACCAACTGGAGACCACCGAAGGGTCAGCCTACCCCAATGAGATGTCAATCCCTCCTCCACCTTAGGGGTGGGCGTTCGGTCGGTTCGGTTTGAACCGAACCGAACAAGGAAGTAGAGGTATTCCGGACTGTGCCTTGAGCCAACCGAATTCGAACCAAAAAACCTGCTGCCTCTTAAACTTTAACCTTTTAAGCGTTTTGGTACCAGCCTGCCGCTGCTGGAAATTTCACTTGCTGCTGGAAATGATGTAAATATATATTGTCCCCTGCTATTCATCTCAAGTCCCCATTCCAAATATTCTAATATAAATAAAACAAATCCACCATTTTGTTGTTGATGTGCTTTTGTTGTGATAGCCCAGTATAGGTTCTTGAAACCTAAACATGAGAACTTGAAGTGGTATGTGTTACCTTCTATGTTTTGAATCATCTAACCTAACCTAACCTAACCTAAGAGTTAGGTAATGGTTTATCTACGATAGACCATGTCAAGGCCCAAGGGTAAGTAAGCGGACTAAGGGTACAACTCAAGTTAGATTTCGGGGACGAAATCTTTTAAGGAGGGGAGAATTGTAACATCCCGTTCCGGCAAAACCCATATTTTGATCGCTAGAAATTTCGCGATTAAAATCGAGTGTTTTGATAATATTTCGACAAAAATCGGAATATCGATCGATCGGATAAGTATACGTATTAATTATATATATTATACGTATTCCCCCACCCCGTCCATTTTCTTTCCCCACCAATATCTCTTCTTCCTTCTTTTCCTGGACCGAAAGCAGAGCGAGCAGGGGAGCTCGACAGAGAATTTCCAGAGCTCAAATCTTGAGCCCTAGTGATCCAAAAATCCCGTAAGAAATGCCTAGTTCATCTATACATCGTGATTTATCGATTTAGAGCTTTAAAACGAGTTTTTGGTTTAGGAATTTCTTGAATTCCCTATAAGCCAAATTAGGGTTTCGGAGTATCCGGAAGTCGGATTGAGCTCAAATTTCATATACGAGCTTCCTGTAGCGAGGTAATCAATCCTCTAGTTCTAATCCATGAATTTCAGCAATTATTTAGGTCGGGGTCCAAACTGCTGAATTTAGCTCTGGCGAGGGTTTGATGTGTTTTTATCAAGAATTTGACCTGGAGCCTAGAACTAATATTGACGGGGATACTGCAGGGGATATTAGGACAAGCTCGGATTCTAATTCCGGGTTTGTTTTTGAAACTGACGTTTTTGTACGGAGGCTAAAACCGGTGTTTAAACTACCAGAACTGGTGAGGGATTAGCACGGCATATCGGGTTTGTCGTATCACGATAATTATATTGATGTTTATAATTGACCTAGGCGAACTAGAATGGCATGAGTAGGGGTGTATGGACATTTGTGCTATATGATGAACCCTGGACTGCTGTTTGATATTATTGACTTGCACCAATCGATATGGACCTTGTTTATCTTGATGATTGCATACATGTTGCCATTTGTGGCTTAACTGTTGATATGACTGCATGGTTGTTCGATAAGGTGTTTTGACATGGTGTGATATTATGGTTGTATTTGGATCCATAAGTGGGGGAATAAACTTACCAGGGTGATATTATGATGTTTAAGGAGGATGACTTGCACGAGGGTTCATCCCGAGGAAGTGCAATTATACGACTCCTGTTTTACCTATGTCGACAACAGTATACGCAGCGCCTGATGTTTTGGACGAAGATCGGCCTGTTGAAGGGGAGCTAGTAGTCGATCCAGTCGAAGAACCATAGCTTGGGAAGGGAACCTTCCCGCGCTTCACTAATGGAGGGCACTCAAGAACAATGTGACCCTCCTTCTTACAATAATTGCAATAGTTGGGTTTCTTGAAATGTATCTGAACATACCCATATTCGTGACAGTAATGGCAGATCAATTCGCCGCCAGAGGGAGTGCCAAAGCGTGGGCGGTGAGAAGCCCTAGCTCGGCGAACAACGAATGCGGATTCTGAAGTGCGATTATCAATACGAGACTGACTTTTGGGTCCTGTTTCCTCACGTATGAGTTCAGCCACCACTGCATCCAGATCAGAGATCCCCCGATGAATTAAGGAAGCGCGGATCGCTCGAATTCAGCCCGCGGTTTCATGAGAAATTGCATCACTCGAATCCGTGATCATTCCTTCTGCACTTCAGCGGAGGCGTCGCCAGTTAACAATGAAGCAGTGACCAAATCTTATTCGGTCCAAAGGTGTAGGGCATGCTTGTAGTAATCACACACGTCCCGATCACCTTGGGACAACCCAGCAAGTTCCAATTCCAGTTCATATAGCCGAGAAGAATCAGCTTGAGAGTACGTACTGCATATATGTTTCCACATCTCATGCGTCGTGCGAAAACGACGAAGGCTAAGCGCGGTTTGAACGTCGACCGACGCCAATAACCACGTGATAATAAGAGCATTCGAGGCCGCCCAATTGACCCTCTCCTTTTCACTTGCCTCAGCCGCAGGCGGCTTCAATTCGCCTGTCAAAACAGACGATAGCTTCTGTCCTTCAACGAAGTTTCTGAAGTGAAACTCCCACAACGGAAATTTTTTTCCATGGAACTTAACGGAGATCGTATCCATCTTAGTAGAATCCATACTGAAAAAGCACAAAGAAAAAACACCAACCACAAACCTAGCGAGAACAACCTGCAGCCTGCAGAGCAGACCTGGCGTCGGCGAACAAAGAAAATCCCGCAACCGCCGACGCAACCCTAGCCAAGCAGATGCAATAAACCAACCAAAACAAAACCTAACCTTGAATGAGAGAGGCTCCGATACCATGTCAAAATCAAAGCTTCGAACAAGAACACCGAGTTTAACGTGGTTTCCCTGATCAACAGGACTAGTCCACAGGAGAGGCAGAGCTCTCCAAGTCAATCATATTGCCTTGTTACCTAGTACACACGAGATACATCAATATATATACAACTTTACGTAACCCTAATGACTAAGGACTTAAAATATAATTACAAAAAGGTACTTATATTTTCAACAACGGGAAGCCAATAAAGTGGCTCATATCATGGCATACACAGAAATGCAGTGAAATAAAAGTGTGATTTTGATCGACATACCACTGATTTTGTTAAATCCAACTAGATCATGCATAAATGACTTTTTAGTCTTAATATTCGATTCTTTGTCCTATTCTTTTCAAGTTAGGGACTGCCGATTCTCTTTAGTCATTGATGCTCTCACAATACCCACACATCTTGCGACTATGATGGGCATGATCATTTTGCATCATGATATATAAACATGGAGCGGTAAAATCCATTCATTAAGTGGAACCGGGAGGCAATTTAGATAGTTATGGTAGTATTGAAGTTTGTGCTTGAGGCCTAAGCATTATAGGTAAAATGATATGAATATATCAAGTTCACAATCATCACTTTATGTGAGTGAGCAACTGATAGAAGTGAATCATAACTCATTATCTATACTTACAAACTTATTCTATCTGAAAGGAGTGGTTATAAAGTTATTAAAAATATTTGACAAATTAAACAAAATCAAACATTTTCTAAGAAATACAAATTATGTGGTCAGATTCTATAAAATTGGCCACTTTAAAATCATAACATAGTGAGGTCTAGGATCTATATCGAGTTTTAAGTTTTTTTTTTTATACATGACACAAAGATTTAAGAAACCATGAAAAATAAGCCTTGCATGTAAAAAGACTCCACATGTTTTTATCAACAAACCAAATCGAACATAAAAGATATTCAATAAAATAATTTAAATTCTAGAAATGATAATGTATTATGTCATATTCAATTTTCAGAAGAAAAAAAAAATCAAATAGTCCTAACATGGGCTAGTTACTTATCAAATCTGAAGTGTAAACCCCATGTTGGGCAATCCGCAGCCGCAAACTCTGAAATTACGTACACTCCGACTTAATTAAGAGAAGCAAAATCACTATAGACTTTGATTCGTACTTGTCCCAAGCGTTGAGACCATATTAGTTACGCATTTATTTCCGTTCATATTCCACCCGACCGACACCGCCCCACATCAGACTTCTCCTCATATACACATTCAATTCACTCACCAAACTATATTGATGGTGGTCAAACCTTTGAATTCTCTCGGATCCTATCCTATATAGACAAGTAAATAAAAAAATCGTAAGCGTGCATATGTATCCAGCCACCCCACGACTTTCGAGTTCCCAAGATTCAAACTATTACGTACGTGCAAAGAAAAAATAATCCCTCTTCAACCGTTGAACAGGAGAGGCTGCTATAAATATCTCATCACCAATTAATTGCCATCCCCATCGCAACTATCTTTCCAGCTAATTAATCCGCAAACGATCGATAAAAAAGCTCTGAATCCGATGGCTTGGAGAATGCTAGAGGCAAGCTTGAGGTTGGTCGTGCTATTCATTGCGATATCCGCATCTGCAGCCCAAACCCCAGCAATCCTGGACACAAGCGGGCAGCCTCTGAGGCGCGGGGTGGACTACCTCATTCTGCCCGGCGTGACCGACGTTGCCGGCGGGCTCACGCTGCAGCCTCGCAACGCAACTGCTAGCTGCCCGCTGTTTGTGGCGCAGGAGCCCCTAGCCCAGGTGGTGTCGCAGGGGCTCCCGGTCTCCTTCGCCCCATTCGCCGCCGGGGAGAATGTGGTCAGGGAAGGAAGGGACCTGATAGCTACCTTCTCGGCGGCCACCACCTGCGTGCAGTCGACGTCGTGGGGGATCGGCGAAGAGGATGCGCAGAGCAGGAGGAGGTTCATTGTGACGGCCGGACAGCCTTCCTACTTCCGAATCGAGAGGAACGCCACCACCAATGCGTACCAGATCGGGTGGTGCCCCGGGGAGTCGTGCCCCAACTGCGGCAGGCCTAGGTGCGGAGCTGCTGGCATTTTGATTCGCGATGGGAGGAGGTTCTTGGCCCTCGATGGCCCTGCTTTTCCTTTCCGTTTCATGAGGGCTTGAATATATATATAGTCAAATATTGGGTGCGATTCCAATATAGTAATATTATTTATTAAATAAAATGTTGTGATAGATTGTTATCTCCACGCTGAGTATGTATATACTCATATATTCATTTCAAGTTTAAATTTATTTCAAGGGTTACTAGTATAAATTGTCTCTACACTATGTTATGGGAACACTACAGGAAAAAAGATCATCTAATCACAGGTAAATCTTGTGTTCGAAAGTGTGTTTTCCGTTTTAATACATAGTTTTAGTCACACCAAACCTATCGTAATTGTATATATCTGCGTGTCTAATTATAAAGTTCACGAGAAATTTGTACCGTGACTATTGATCACGGGAAGCCCTGTGACTAATATAAAATTTGGCACATAAAAGCGAAAAAAAAATCAACACAATATTAACCGTGACAAAATCGTTCCCTTGATCAGATGCCAATCAATAGTCACGTTATTTGGTCGATTCTCCCGTGTCTAGATACTAACAATCAATTATGGTATTTTACTACGCCCAATTATGGAGAACTAGCCACAATATTTTCCCATGATGCATAAAATGTTGTATCTTAACATACAATTATAAATACCAACTTTTATCGCATGATATTCCAACATTATTGTCAATACAATTTTTTCAAATATCATTTATTGATTAATGTTCATTAACATATAATTGACAAGGCTAATTATTGTACTATGAAGCTCCAACATAATTAAAATCAATTACAAATCCAATGCGTCCGATCAAATCATCTAAAATTATCTAAATCTTTGGTTTATACTTCTACCAAATATTCTTGAATAGCTGCAATATCCATCAACTCCCCAATCTTAATGTCTTTCTCGTCCTGACAAAATATAGTAAAAAACTTAAAATGAGTCTCTATTTTTCAAACACATACATTCGTCAAGGTAGGCAAATACACTCTATAATATCCTCTACATTGTGAAAGACAACCTGCAACATACACAACTATGCCTAACCAGAACAAGTAGAACACAGAATGCAAGAGACAACTACAATTAATAATTCACCAGAATTCACTAGAACACCCAAATTATTAACAAAAGACACCCAAAATTTTGCCTATTATGACAGAACATTCTTGTCATAGTTACGAGATCAAATACTCTATTTAATTTGTGACAAAAGACACCCAAAATTTTGCCTATTATGACAGAACATTCTTGTCATAGTTACGAGATCAAATACTCTATTTAATTTGTGACGATCCCATTTTTGTCCTGACATATTTAATATGACAATTCGTGTTTGTCAGCCGCTTGTTTTTTCGTCAATATTATGTGAAATCATGAGAAACCTAAATAATTCAATATCTGGATAATTTGACATCGTAGTGAGATCACTATTTTGTCACAATACATTTATCATGACATAACATTCTTGTCACAGTTACGAGATAAAATACTCTATTTAATTTGTGACGACGCTATTTTTGTCCTGACATATTTAATATGGCAAATCGTGTTTGTCAGCAGTCTATTTTCTCGTCAATATTATGTGACTTCGTGACAACTTATTTTGTCATTATATATGGATATTTTTAGAAACCTAAATCAGTCAATATCTGGAAAATCTGACATCCTGATTTTGTCAACATATCTGGAAGTTCACGAATATTGCAGCCAAAACAAAATATTCAACAATCTTGTTCATAATCCGTAATTAAATAACAATCATGCAAACTAATATAACATTTTAGTTGATATGATCCCAAATGGCCAACTATACACGTCACAATTACTTGACAAAGATGCTATCGAAGTTGGGAAGAAGATAAAGTTTGGAGGCATGGTTCTCACAATTGGCTGACTGAAAATTGGAGTTCAAGGGCTTGTTTAAAAGATAAAGTTTCCATATTTCCAATGATATGCTTTTTCCATTGATAGTTCTAAGCTTTCGATTTGGGTTAGGATCAGAGAGTTGCCGTTGGAGTAAATGACGGCGGAGGGACTGAGTAGAGTTGCAAGTTTGTTGGGTACTCCATTGTGGATGGATCAAGCCACGAAGTTGGGGGCTCAGATGGGTACAACAAAGTTGTGTATTAAAATGGCATCGGATTCTCCGTTCCCCACTGATATTCGGATTCGTCCAGAAGGTGAGGAGCGTTTGCATCTGTTTGTCCATTATTTCACTATCCCAGCGCGTTGTGCTCAGTGCGCTGAATTTGGTCATGAGATGGGTGCCGGTTTGGAGTGTAGAGCAGTGCAGCAGGAGTTGTTGGCAGTGGCTATTCCAGTGCAGGTAGTTGATAAGGGTTAGGAAGTGGCTGATGTTGAGTCTTCTTTGATCAGTACTGAAGGAGGTAATCCAGAGGTAGCAATGGTGGTTCAGAGTAGTTCCCTGCCTCAAGCAAGTTTTGCAGGTAAGCCAATGGGTGCTAAGGAGGGGGTGGTTACTGCTAGCTCTTCAACTCCAGCGAGGGCTGATTTACCGGTGAGGATGGGTTTCAGTTGGTTGTCCGGAAGGGTAAGAATGATTCAGGTGGCAGAGAGTTAGGCAGTAGTGTGTGGATTCCTGCTTCAGTTGTTCAGGCTCGGGTTCCATTGAATAATAAGAGTATTGAGTTGGTTATTCCTGCCTCTCCAAAGAAAGGTGGGAAGAACATGAGGAAAGGTAAATGAGGTTATTGTGCTGGAATCTCAGGGGTTTTAATGGCCCTGAGAAGCATAGATACGTAAATAAACAGGTAGTTAGATTACAAATAGATATGTTTGCTATTTTGGAAACTAGAGTATTGGAGGGTAACTCTGCAGATATATTAAATAAACAGTTTAGTATTTGGAAGCATATGAATAACTACAAGTATTCTCAGTCTGGAAGGGTATGGTTGTTCTGGAAGCCTTCATTGCAAGTCAGTGAGGTGGATATGGATGAGCATTTTATTTCTGTTCGAGTTGTTCAATGCAGTGAAGCGTGTTTGGTCACTGCTGTCTATAGTCCCAACAAGTAGGCAGCAAGGGTTGTGTTGTATGGGAGGTTGAGGGGAAGCATAGGTGATGAGCCTTGTCTTTATATTGGGGACTTCAATGCTACCATTGATAGTAGTGAAGCGTCTAATAACCCGGTTTTGAGTCAAAGTATGCTTGATTTTCGTCACTGGATATTGGAAAGGAAGTTGGTTGACCACAAGGTACTAGGTTCTTGGTTCACATGGTGGAATAAACAATCTGAGAATCCCATTGCCCGTCGAATTGATCGTGCTCTAGTCACTGAGGCCTGGTTGAATCAGTTCCCTCATAGTTTGGTTCAGACTATTGCTCTGGGAGTTTCTGATCGTTGTGGAATTTTTGTGCAGACGAATCCAGTTCTCACGTCTTTGCCAAATCCTTTTAAGTTCTTTTATTCTTGAGACAAAATCCTCGCTATAGTGAGCTACTGAAGAAGGCTTGGCAAATTGAGGTCACTGGTGATCCTTATCATATCTTGTTTTTAAGGTTGAGGGGTTTGAAGGGGAAGTTGAGGGAGCTGAATAGAACTGCTTATTTTGAAATCTCTGTTCATACAAGGGAGGTTGAGGAGAAGCTTGAGGGGATGCAGAGGGATTTCTTTGCTGGTCCTACTGATGCTCAATCTCAGGCTATTTTGTTTCAAGAGAAGCTATGTAAAGAATTGAGAAGTGCAGAAGAGGTTTTCTATAGGCAGAAGTCTAGAATTCAATGGATTACAAAGAGAGATGCTAACACAGGATTCTTCCATGGCATGGTCAAAGCTAGAAATCATAAGAAAACTATACAGAAGCTGATTTCAGATGATGGTGAGATAGTTACTGATGTAAAGGCGATGAGTAATGTTGCTGTTGAATTTTATAAAGGCCTTCTGGGGACTATTGATCAGGTTGTTCAGAATACTCCTCCTTGTTATTTTGCGGAGTTGTTAAGGCATAAAGTAACAGAAGAGGAAGTGGTTGTACTTTTTGTGCCTATCACTAGAGAGGAGATTAAGCAAGTTTTCTTTGGAATGGGAAATGACAAGGCTTCTGGGCCAGATGGCTATGTGCTGAATTTTTCAAGCTTGATTGGGAGGTAGTAGGTTCTGATGTGGAAGATGTTGTGCTTCAATTTTTTAGTTCTGGGATCCTGCCTAAGTGGGTTAACTCTACTGTCATTTCTCTTATTCCAAAGCTCCTGGTGGTTGAGAAGATGAAGAATTTTCGTCCTATTTCTTGCTTCAACGTGCTATACAAAGGTATATCCAAGCTCCTTGCTAATCACTTGTCACCAATTTTACCTCAGCTTATTGGAAGAAGTCAATCTGCTTTCATTAGGGGGAGGTTAATTAGTGATAATATACTTATGGCTACTGAGTTAGTGAAGGATTATAGTAGAGGCAGGTTATCACCTAGATGTGCAATTAAGATTGATTTAATGAAAGCTGTTGACTCAGTTGATTGGAGTTTTCTGTTTAAGGTGATGTGTGCTATGGGTTTACCTCTGAGGTTTGTGGAACTGATAAGAGCCTGTGTAACATCTCCTATGCTTAGTGTTTCTTTCAATGGTGGATTATGTGGGTATTTCCCAACTGCTTAGGGTTTGAGGCAAGGGGATCCTCTGTCCCCATACCTGTTTACTATAGCTATGGAAGTGTTTTCTTGTTTGTTAGCTAAAGCTGTTGAGTCAAATGAGGTGCAATACCATCTAGGTGTAAAAGCTTGGAGATTACACATCTTTGTTTTGTGGATGATTTGTTAGTTTTTACTAATGGTTCTCCTCAAGCATGATGGGGGTTAAGAAAGTTTCTGCTGCAAGAAGAGAAGCAAGCACTTTCTGACCAATATGGATTTTCACTTGGGGAACTGCCTGTCAGGTATTTTGGGGTGCCATTACTTTCAGGCAAGTTATCTTCTGTTGATTGTCAATGCCTAGTTGATAAAATCACAAAACGTATCACAAGCTGGCAAGCTCGGACCGTGAGCTATGCAGGGAAGTTGCAGTTGATTGATTCTGTTATTAGTAGTGTTTGTCAGTATTGGATGTCTGTGTTTTTGCTCCCAATGAAGGTGCTTAAAATGATTGAGGATGCGTGCAATAAATTTCTGTGGAGTGTGGATGGAGTTAGGAGTAAGAAAGCTTTAGTAGCATGGTCACAGTTAGCTCTCCCGCACAAGGAAGGAGGTCTGGGCATTAGGGATTTTAAAAATTGGAACAAGGCTTGTGTGATTCGTCATTTGTGGAATTATTAGCAGAGGCAGGATCATTGTGGGTAGCATGGATGAACAGGTATAGAATTAAAGGGCGG